TAATTAAGAGAAACATGTAATTAGTTTCCTCCATGATTTACTTGTGTCAATGCCTTGTCTGTGTCTGTGTCAGTATGCCTATAATTCAAAGAAACAGATAGGTCATGTTTTAGATAAAAACCACATGGAATGCTGTCAAAATCAAAGGGTTTATAGAGTTTCTCCAACTCCAAAGTCAGTAAGAAATTGTGTAGAAATGCAGGTATCTGGAGGAGATCAAAGTTCCTCCCACAAACTGATTTTCTTTTGAAATAGAGGTAACCTTAACAGTATGCGCTTGGTTAGAGAATTAGCGGAATTGCTCCCATCGCTCCTGGAGTCCATAAGCACAGGGTCCTGTTTTTATCTTGAATGTGACTTTAGAAGGAACAAAAGAATAAATGCTAGGTATCTATGGGGCCCTTCAGATGCCACACCTAATTCATCTGAGCTGGGGTGGGGGCACCATGCTTGCTGTGGTCTGTATCTGGGGTGTGCCCAAAAGACCATGTGTTAAAGTCCTTGTCCCCAGCTTGACCTGAGGAGAAGCTGGTGGGAACTTTCAGAGGTGGCGGCTAGTAGGGGCTTTGGCGCACTGGGACGTGTTTGTGAAAGACTGGGGGCTATACTCCATGCTCTTTCTCTTTCGTTCCTAGCCGTGAGGATAACAGCTTTCTCTGTCACATACTCCCACCATGCTGTCACCACAGACCCAAAGGCGATGGTGGCTACCAGTCATGCACTGAGAATTCCAAACTGTGACACAAGGTAAGCTTTTACTCTTTCCTAAGGTAGGTTTTGAAATGAAAATACAATTGCATTTTTTCCTCCCTTCCCTTTGCTCTCCAGTCTTTCCCATACACCTCCTTTCTCAAAATCACGGCTTCTATTTCTTTAACACGCACATGCACAGGTTCCTAAATATATAAATACAATGATCTCAGTCCTTTCTTCTCTTTAAGAGAAGTGTCTCAGATATTTTGTTACAACAGCGGAAAGCTAACACAATATTCAAAAGTATCAGGAATCTAGGAGAGACACCAGACACCAAATACACATGGTCCTTAAAATAGTGCTGAATGGAAGGTGTGCTCTTTAATGCTCACGACCCAGAGCAGTGGGCACTATGGTGAAGATGTTGGTCTTTAATTGTCATGACCCTGAGCAGTGGGCTTTATGCTGAAGATGCTGGTCTCTAATCCTCATGACTCTGAGCAGTGGACACTGTGGTGAAGATGTCGGAAGACCATAAAGCTGAAGAAACGACAGATTTAGTAAGTCCAAAGGTCACTGGTAAAATTCACAAAATAGCAAATGACTGAGTAGAGAAGCAAAAAAAAAAAAAAAAAAAAAAAGCCTGGAGGGGAGCAACAACTTTTCAACAACAACAAAGGTGATTTCTATACCTTTGATTTCTGTCAACGAACACTGGTTCAAACACACACAATTGGTCCCCTACTCAGCAAAGAAATAATGGTGGAAATTTTGTTAATACATTAAAAAAATTATGGCCACCAAAACAAGAAGTAAAATATACCATCATGCTTTAGCAAGTGTGATCTTTCAAATATAATGTACTGGGATGAAGATACATTCTCTCAGCAGATGGAACATTAGATGCTTTCTTCTGCCTTTAAACATTATTAAATCATGAATCAGCCAAAGCATAAGGATGTCTGAAATTCTAGAAGTCTCCTTATGACGTATCAACAAAGGCTGGCAGGATTTTAGATGCTACAGCATATTCTCTTGCTTACACGGCTGGCTCATCATTTCTCCAAATGAAACCCTGGTCTAGATCACTAGTTCTCTTATTCTGTCTGGGTGCTCTGAAGCGATGGGATCTGCGTCACAGCATCCCTCAAAGAGAACAGAAGCAGGAAAGTACCAAAGATGTGCTCTGCTGGGGGTGTGGGAGGAGCATGGCTCACCGGTCGTCAGACTCCAATGAGACATAAGTTGTCCCACTCATGGCAACTTGTATTTAATTCTCCCAGGAGTGGCTTCTATCGAATGGAAGCCACGGATGGAGCAAAGAGTTAACTTCTTTGTTCTTCATGGTCACTATGAGACACAGGATAAAGTGCAAGAAAACTCTGTCACAAGTATATGTGAATCTTCCACTGACCTCTGACCATGATTCCTATAGTTTAATCACTTTAAAGAATTACTTAAAATGCGCGCACACGTGTGCACGCACGCACAGACACACACACAGACACACACACACACACACACACACACACACACACACATACACACACACACCCCTAAAAGGAAAGGCAGGCTCTTACTGAGACAGGCCATAGGATGTAGGATTAAATGCCACCTCTTCCTGCCTGGAGCAGTGTGCTGCAGCTCCTCCTGGTTTCTAGTGGCCTGTCTAGTGTCATTTCAGTTTGTAAGCCTCTCTTGGGTCTTTCTTTCTCCTCCCATGTAAAGAACCTCACCCAGTCTCAAAGGCCAGGTCAAGTCCACCTCTTAGTCCAACAAAACTCATTTGTATGAAAAAGTGGAGATCCAAAGAGCCAGTGTGTTTCCCCAAGGTTTAAAGTTATTTCCAATGAATCTAAAACACTTCTAGAGTTGAAAACACATGGTTGTTTGAAGGCAACGGGTCTTACTGACTGGCAGAGCATCTCCATGGAGTATCAACTGCCTGAGTTTTCCTAGATGCCACCACATACCTTCAAAAGACTGAAGTGAAAATCATCTGATTGTAGACGCATAGCCTTGGCTTGTATCTCTGTCTGAAAACACATTCCAGCGATCTAGCCTTTTTTTTATAAGGAAATAGAGATGAATGACTGAAATGACATGTGTGGTCAGTTCTACTGTATAAAGAAATTGTAATGTTGGTGAAACAGACAAGAGCAATTCATATAATCATAGCTTTATTTTTCAAAAAGAATCACAATATAACTTTAATTTCTACTGAGTCTTAGATGTTTTCTCTGCACAAAAAAATCAATAAAACTGCAGAATTTTTATGTTTTGACAAGAGGATCTTGATATTAATCTTCTGCTTCCTGGAATCTTCCACATCCAATGTAAGCTGTCCTTTGCAAACATACAAAATTCTTAAGCTTTCTCCCAAATTCAAAAGGAGAAAAAGGTTTACGTTACACCCCTAAAGTTGGGAGGCAGAGCCGCCCTTCATTGCGTTCCCTTTCCAGCTCAGCCACAAGCACACAGCGGACAGGAGCAGCAGTGTCAGACAGTAAGAGGTGCATTGGAGACCAATCTAAAAACAAAACTATTCCAGAACACTGCAGGAAGGGAAGGTCTCCAAAAGTGGCCAAACAGAAGCAGGAGGTCAGAATCCGCTCTGGGAGGACAGTGGCATTAACAGGTCTCCGGAACCCCACTCCGTCCCCAGACGTGGATCACGAGCGGACCTCACACTCGTGAGAATAGAGGTCTGCCTGGTTCCTTTTCCACTAGGCCTCCATCCAACCTCAGGAGAGTGGCCCTAATAAGCAGAGCAGCGCTATTGCGTGGTTTGAGCTTGTTGTCCCCAGCCACAACTGTTTTCTTCTCTTAAGATATGCAAAAACTCTTCGGGGTAGAAGGAGAAAGTAAATAAAAGGAGGTAATTCTTGATCCCATGCCAACTTACAGTATTAAAAAAATCAAAACAAAGAGAATCTGAGCCACAGCTTGGCAGCCAGCCATATTTACAGTAAGCTATCTGGTGTTTTCCCCAACAGAAGAACAAAGGGCTCCATGCTGCGAGCCTGCCCAGGAAGGAATGTGGCCCCCAAGCAAAGGAGCCCTTCCCTCTCCACACAAGTTTGTGATAGGCTCAGACAGATCCAGCCTGTTCATTTCTTTATTCTCTGAAATTTCAGATGCTTCTACTAGTCAACTTACTAAAAACTTTAGCCCCAGCTTCCAAGAACAGTAGAACCTAAAACAAGAGCCTAAAAATGGGTTTGGGGTTTGATTTTCTTGGTAAGATTTAAAGTGAACCCTTCCATTAGACTGTCAGAGAATATTAGCAGTAAATAGACTGAATAGCATCAGGAACATTATACTGCAGCCTCAATTTTAGTATAGTACATTCCTAAGTTAATTCTAGAATTAAAATATATGTTAGAATTATACAAAGAACATTAAAATAAAAAATAACAAGCCTTTTTCTCCAAGTTATACTTTTTTAAAATAACACTTTAAAAATGGAAATGAAAATTATGTATACCTGTAAGGATTTAGGCATTATGCTGGCTTGCCTCCCCCCTCCCCCCACCTGGCAGAATGCACTCAGGCAGTACCCTGGTCAGCCCAGGTGCAAAGGACCCCTTTAAAAGAAAGACCTCCGTCCACTTACACTCTTTCTGCTCTCTTTCCCGCTGTCCCCCTGGGGCAGACAGGACTTTTCCTGTCTCCCTCTCCTCTTCTGTCCTCTCTGTCTCTGTCTCTTTACTCCTTTTCTCTTTCTCCTCCTCCCTTCCCTTTCTAATAAAACATCTCACTGTCTACCTCCTTGAGTATTTGTCCCCTGCCTCAGTTACCCTCACCTGCCATGGAATCCGCCAAGGTTCCTCATGCTTTATTCCTAACAATGCCAGTGCTTGTTTCTTTATAAATACTTGAGATTACTCATTGGCTTGGGTAAAAACTTTTTTTCTGCTTGTTTGTTTGTTTGTTTTTGACACAGGGTTTCTCTGTGTAGCCCCGGCTATCATGGAACTTGCTCTGTAGACAAAGCTAGCCTTGAACTCAGAGATCTGCCTGGCTCTGCCTCCTGAGGGTCGGGATTACAGCAACACCACAGCTGGTTTTGGGTAAAACTTTTTAAACTTGACAATTAGTAATCAGTTTAGTGTTCTCAAGGACAATTGGTTGTAGTGGGAAGAGAATAAATGGTAAATAACTATAATAAAGGGGGAAAAAGACACCTCGTTGGCTGACTTGGAGCAGGAAGAAGAGAACAAAATGCTAGTTAGAAGCCCGCGGACGGTGGCTGTGGAGGGTCAGTCTGAGGTCCAGACCTGCAAGGTATGAAGTTATGACCAGGCCTGGGGACTCGGGGGAAAGAGGAAGCTGGGGAATTGAGTAAGCATATTCAACTGCTGTGAGCTTTGCCCAAAGAGGAGGGACTGCAGAGACAGCTTCATTTAAAAATAGACTGCTTACAGAGACAAGGAGCTGGCGGAGTGACGGGGCACTGGCAGCTGGCATGGACGCCACCGAGAGGGGCTGAAGCTGGGGCAGGTAAATGGGGGAAGAGGAGCCTGGAAGCCATGTCATGACCCTAGAGCAGTCAAGCCGAACTGGGCACTCAGGAGAGGGCACAGCACGGGCAGGTGGGGCGGGGCAGGAGCATGGGGGGGGGCAGGAGCATGGGGGGGGTACTGATTGTTGGTTCTGCTCCATCCATGATATTTGTTTCCTGGTAACAGGTGGGATCCAGAAGTTCCCGCAAACACAGGCAGAGGGCCTTAGGACTTAGCAGGACAGACCGGCATGGCAGTCTTGGGGTCCCCCAGCAGGGGACAACAGAAATGCTGGATCAGGTGGAAGGAGCAGCACCCCCAAATGGGATATCCTAAAATGTTTCGCTCTGTACCTGATGGCTCTGCCATAGGGGTCCTGTAGAGTGGTCAGAGAAAAACACTGAATGTGATCCTGGGAGATTCAATTTTCCTACAACTTAGGACAAACAATTGCAAGGAAGGAAACAAACATTCATGGCCAGCAGATTCGCTGGTTTGCGGTGATTAGCAGCACTGTTGGCCAGAGTAAGAGGGCTCTCATCCACCGTGGGCAGCATGGAAACTGCACGAAAACCATCTACAAGTAAGCGACAGTAAGAGCACGCCCCAGCCCTGTCCACTTCATTCACAGGTCTGTACTCTTGAGAAACTGCCTTTGCACCAGGGACACATGAAAGAATCTGCTGTGTCATGATTTAAAACACACAAATATCATATAGAATGTCCACATGAAGGAGAAAAAAGTTGTATTGAAATTAATAGAATATTCCACAAACTGCAAATCACCAACTTAAAAAAAAACCCACAGAGAAAAAAAGAAAAATCTATCAAAAAAGAAACAAATAGCTTGAGCAAACCAAAAAAGACACAAAACAATGCACAGTATGATGTGCCTATGAAGTTTCAAGGCCGAGCTCGCCGTGAGAGCACAGACTTTGGCACTCAATAGTCCTGAGGTGGAGGCGGGAGGTTAGGAGTTTGAGGCTGCCCTGGACTACACAGAGACACAGATTACAAACCAGAAGACAGGGGTAGAAGGGGATTAGGCACTTAATGAAAAAGGATTTAGAATTCAAGTTTATCTCATATGTAATTATTTGCAAAATTGGATAAGGAGTTCAAGTATAGACTCTCCAGAAAGTGAAATTAATCCTTTAGAAGTTACAGTAGCTCATTCCAAGTATATATATCTTTCTTAGGCTCATTTTTCTTTAATGATTTAATCTTGGGATGCTGATGAGGTATTTTGTTATTTGCTTGCTTCTTAGTTTTTTTTTTTTTTCCTATGCCATCAATCCTCAAATCAAGGTGGCCAGGAAGAGAGGGGAGGAGCAAAACCAACATGCTCAGGTGGACAGCTTCCCTGCCTCTGCCCCTGCCCCCCCTTTCTTTGCTCCACACCCCAACTCCCATCCTGAGGTCACAGAGGCAAACCAACTAAGGCCTCAGAAGATATGCTAAGCTGATTATTCAGAGGGCCTGAAAAACCATTCTGCTAGCAGCCTGGCTTCTATTCAGAAACAAGAGTTGGCAAGAGATAACAGATTTATTTTGAAAGAAGAGGAAAAAAGTTATATTTCGAGTGTTGTGTATCATGTGCTGAAGAAGCAGCTCCCATTTTCTAAGGACGCCAGGGAGAAAAGCAAGGAGAAGCTATGAAAGCGTCACACCATAATTAGAAAATATCTTTTCAAACGGGCTAACAGGGGGCAGGCAAACCTGGGGCTAGCCTTGCACCTCCTGGAAGATGTTTCTTTCAGCACGAAGACATCATAAAAGTAAATGTCTATTCTTCCCTAATTTGGAAAATGAAAATTAAGGCCTATATGAAAATGGACTTAAATAATGTTGATGTTATTCAAACTGGCATGAAGGAGAGTTAGGGGTCTTCTTAAAATACAGTAATAAGGGTCATGAGGAGCAGTAGTGTTATGGATATGCAGATAATATATAGTGCTATAAACCTTGAGACATTTATAGTATTATAGTGGTGTTACAGTACATAACACTTTACTAAATAGTATGATCAAAAAAACATGAGGATAACAATAAAATTTTAACCTTTTACGGCACAGTAGTGAGTGCTGGTACCTGATACTGATTCTAAATAATAAATAAGTTTCAAAATTTGCTAAAATTTCTAAGTTGTTTTCAAACTAACTTCTTGAATCTTTTCTAGACCAAACTAATACATTAGCAGGTTATATTCAGAAACTTCTCATCGTTAGTTTAAATACGACGGTAGTAGGTGGGGGATAGCTCAGCTGGTGCAGGCTTGCCTCCCTTGACGATCTGAGTTTGATGCCATAGCCCAGGTATGGTGGCACACACTTTAATACCAGTGCTGGGATTATAGGCAAAGATGGTCTGATCCTTGGGGTTCACTGGTCTGCCAGCCTAGCTTACTTGGTGAGCCTAGGCCATTGAGAAACTCTGCTTCAAAAACAAGGTAGACATATTCTGAAGAACAGCTAACGTTGATTTCTGGCTTCAGAGGGCTCATGCACACACATAAATAAAGTATCACACACATACAAACAGTCTAGTGTCCCATGTGGGACATGTTTCAAGACTCATGACACAGATGATCTCTGTACAGTAAAAGATGTTTAAAATGGTAAAAAAAAAAAAAAAGCAATCAAAATAATCCTACAAATAAGGATTCAAATGTTCGGAACATTTAAGGTAACTCTACCCATGACCATCAGACCTCATTTAAGGTACACTCAAGTTAGTGGCTACTGAACAGTACCAAGGCCTTGTCACTGAGACCACCGAACGTATTTATGGAGTCCGAATAACCTCCTCTACACCCTTTAGTCTTCGACCTCTGGACATATGCAAGTCTCTCTATTTAGAATTTTTGTCTTCAGGTTTTTCCCTGAGCACTGCCACCTACCTAGATGTCACACACATTTCATGTAAATCTGAAGTTACTGTTCCCTCACTGAACAACTAACATAGGCACAGTAAGGGCAAACATGCTCACAGGGTAGAGAAAGCAGCCGGATATGAAGAGCCATGTGTGACCCCAGGCTTCCAGTCCGGATGGCCAGCTCCCCTCCACATAGCCTTTATGAAGACAGGAGTGAACTGAAAGAGAACAGTCTCCAAATTATGAAGGACCGAAGCAGTTGCAGTCCATTCTAGGTTCTCTAAGTGAGTTAGTTATGATTTATTCATTCACGCATCATTCAACATTTATTCTGTCTCATCCGAGTGCCAGCCCCAGAGCTAGGTACTAAGGATAAAACCCAAGACTACATCCCAAGCACTTAATAAACATTGGCACTAATCATGCTGTCCAACAGCTGCGCTATCTCTGCGTTATCACTTTTAATCTTTACACCAGTCCCCTTCTGCATGGAGAAAACAGACCACGAAGTTAAGTGGCTTTTCCAGGCTCACAAAAGTTATCAGCAGGCAGGTCTACGTCAACTTCAGTCTGTCCAACTCCAAATCATGGGAGCACAAAGCCACCAAGCCGCACAGACAGCGGGGCGTACATGCCAGGTACAAATACATACTCCATACGTGTGCTAGCTATGTATCTATGTCACATGACATCAATATCTATCGTTTGAATGATGCCACATGGTAAATGGGCCCATCTAGGCATTATAATTGATAATATCTCCTCTTTAGAATGCTAGATGAGTAATGCTAATCAATTCAGTACTGAGCTTAGTGGATCTATATTGGAGAAAAGAAAACTCAATAAATAATTTCAAAGAAGGAAATAAGACCTTGGAAATAAAGTCTGCAGCCTCTTCTCGCCAAAAACTGAAGAGAAACTCCTGCCCCACTAATACCTTAAGAAACGTACGTGGTAGGGCTGGAGTGATGGCGCACTGGTTGCAAGCACTGGCTTGCTCTTCCAGAAGACCTGCGTTTCGTTCGCAGTCTTCACATGGTGGCTCAAACCATCCATAACTCCTGTCTCAGGAGATGCAGCATTCCTTTGGGGACAGGCATGAACCAGGCATCTACAGACATACACGTAGGCAAAACATCCACATAATAAATAAGTAAATAAAATGTAATATATGTGACTATGGTTTCAGTTTCATCTTGGAAAATACTTTCAAAGGCCATGCACATCCCAACATGGAGAAGGCTAGAGCAGGAGGACGGGCAGTGAAAGATCCCTGAGGTACAAAGTGGGTGTGTAATGGCTTGAGCTAAAAAGTGAGTTCAAGGCTAGCCTGGGATATATAGCCAAATTCTGTCTCAAAAACACGAGGGCTCTGGATATATCTCAGTGGTGGAGAACATGTCTAGCACATGGAAGACCCTGGGCACCGGAGAATAACATATATACATAATTTATGTATATACATATATAATTATGTGTGCATAATTATGTATGCATGAGGTAAAAAGAAAACAATCTACAAATTAAACAATTAGCAAAAAAGTATTCAGAATAATTTGAAAATAAACCTAACAAATGATTAAGGTCCCCACAACCTACACGTTAGACATCAAAATACGTACACACTTCATGCTTCATTCTGCCATAATAAAAGGTGGATGTCATAAGAACTGAAGCAATTTTGAGGAGATTTTCTAGTCTTTTCCTATCTGAGCAAAGATGGCAAGGCATTAAGGACTAAGGAGAAGGTTAATCTACTGCACGGAGAGATGCTTTGCCTTCAGATAAAGCAAGACAACTTGGTTATAATTTATTTATTTGTTTGCTTGTTTGTCTTTCACGTCTCAGCCTGTAGTACTGCAGAAGCTCACTTAGATTGTCAGGAAAGATGGCGTGCCTCTCCCTTTGGTTAGTGTTGTAGGTCTTCTGACGTCAAGCATGACACTTCTGCTTCAGTTCTGTGAAGTCATCAATGTTAAATAACGGTTGCTGGTCTGGGGACTCACCATGCCGAAGGTAAACTAGCCTTATCCGAGTGCTAGGTCACCCATGAGCATAACGTAGACACAGTGGACCAAGGCTGACTTCAGAAGGTCTACAAACAATCACTCTTTAACATTAAGTGACAGCAACTAAAAACTGCATACCTAGTAAAATAATTGAATAAGAACCAAGATTCATGGTCAATTTCTCAGAAGGAAAAACAATGCACTTTATGTGACTATACTTGAAACATATTTTCCATATATGCAAAATATAATTGAAACCATTTACAATGAGTAACTCATATTTTCTATCACCAAAGTACTTAAAATGTACAAATGGGATTTTTCAGTTCAATAATAAGAAATAAGATTTTTCATGTCAACATAGACTACAAGGTAGAAACTTCATTTCTTACTCTTATATTTGTTTCATACACAATATAAATCTTCATATTTATTTCAAAGCATAATAGATTTTCTTCATGAGGAAGAAAATATCATAATAACTGTAGAGCTATGTTGGTCTTTCTGGCTGCAAAATTTTGCTGAGAGAGAAATAAAAACATACCATATGGTATAATCAACAGAATAAAAGCTCCTTTCCCTCAATCCCTGTACGTGAAAGCCACTAATGTTATGTATATCAACACCACCTGGCCCTGAACTTAATGCTCCTGTCAAGATTCAGTACACACACTGAGCAAACAAGAAACTGTATTTGCTAAATTTAATTCCCCAATTGAATACAACAGGTTTTTCTTGTTCTGTTTGATAAAAACTACAGGTGTTTTTCCCATGCTTCTGTCGTTGTGTAACTAAAATGTCCTATTTTCCCTCCTTCATAAGATGCACCATAAATGCAGAGATGGGAATTATGTGACTGGAATACCTCATTGCATTCTGCCGTGTTTCACTTCACGATGAGCACGCCGGTAGGAAGGGATGCTGGAATACACTGTTCTAGATACTGCACAGGAGGCTAGAGAGGGATGCAGACAGCACAGACCACGGCTGCGTGTAAAATCCCCATCACACTGCTTATGGAAACTACGTCACTGGAGGCCATGAGCTTCCGCATCTATCTTCCCTAAATGACGCATCTTCCCTCTGGAGACCATAAACCACTAGGATTTCTCAGTCACCCATGTGCAAGCATGACAGAGGCTCTGAAATCGACATCGCAACTGCAGAGACCCTCCTGGAGGACAGTAACAACGAGATCACCAAAGACAGGTTCTACAAGAAACTGCCACTGAATCCAAGAGCAACCCCATAGGGGCGTGGACCGATCCATCCCAGCGCCATTACATAAGAGGAAGAAATCTGATGCTCAAGAGAAACTAAACTGCTTAGTGATCTCATTCTTACCAGAAAAATTATCTGCTGGAAAAATCCTTCAAGGTCAACCTTGGCAAAAATTAAAAAATAATGAAAAGCATTCATCCCTAAGGCAGAGTGAGACTGTTCAATTTGAAGCAATGCACTGTATATTTTATTAGCTATAACTCCTTTAATTATTCATGACATCTCTTCTGATATTCCATACAGAAACCTCACATTGCTCAGATTTCTATCTGCAGCCTTTTGTAAAATTTCCTTTCTTACTCAAGGGCCTTAGGAGCCTAAAGCTCTCTACCTGGCACTACCCACTGAATGCTAACATACATTAAAGTCAGACTCCGAAGGAAAAACAGTCGGAGAGGGAGTGAGAAGAGAAAGACCCACAGACACACCAAACCGCTGATAAGCCACCCTCCAGTGCCATCTGCACTCTGCTGCTGCCTGGGACACTATGCAGCCCCAAATGCTGCAGAAAGCATGCTAGGACACTGTCCCAGGCCCATGCATCACTTCCTGTCATCTGAGAGGCTCTAATGCTAACTGCTCGGCTTGCTTCCTGCTGCATCTTGCCCCAAAGATGCACTTTTCCCACCTCCCACGGGTTTAATTATCTGCTGATTTCTGATGGATGGGTATGCCAAAAAGTTGTGCCCCATGGAAGGGGACCCAGGATAGAGAATCTCAGGCAGTTCCTCACTGGAATATTGATATCCACACAGGCTTGCCGCTAATCCCTAGCCTGAAGACAGTAGAAACATAAATACCGCCAGTGAACCCTGGGAAATATTAGTTCCTCTCATTCATATGAATTCCAAGCTTTCCTTCCCTCTATCCACCGTTCTGAATCTGAAGGTCCCAAGCATAATCCAATTAGCACCAAAATTAATGGGGCCACATTTCTGAGTGGCCAGGGGACCAAGACATGGCTTTTGTCTCAGAGGGGATAGTTCCGGTTAATTCCATGCCTCAGCTTTCATGTAATAAGGCCAGCGACAGTGGCAGTGATAGGTATGAAAGACTCTGTGGTAGTTTTGAAAGAAAATGGCTCCCCTAGGAAGTGGCACTACTAGGAGGTGTGGCTTGTTGGAGTAGGTGTGGCCTTGTTGGAAGAAGTGTGTCACTGTGGGGGTGGGCTTTGAGGTCTCCTATGCTCAAGCTATGTCCAGTGGGTGGTACAGAGATACTTCCGGTTCCCTGTGGATCAATATGTAGAACTCTCAGCAGCTTCTCCGGTACCACGTCTGTCTGCACACCACCGTGTCCCACCATGATGATAGTGGACCAAACCTCTAAACTGCAAGCCAGTCCCGATTAAATGTTTTCCTAGATAAGAGTTGTCATGATGTCTCTTCACAGCAATAGAAACCTTAACTAAGGCAGACTCCAAATAGCGTGCTTGATTGGCTTCCTATGTATGGCTGTCTAAAAGGGGCCAGAACGGCACACATGCTAGTGGACTATAAAGTAACCAAGACGTGTTTCACTTGGAGAGATCACAGTCTGTCAGCTCTGTAGTTAGAGAGGGGAGAAGCCCCTTGCATAATAAGAATGAGCCATTTGAGGATCTGGGGAGATGGGTTAGCGGGCAAGCTGCTTGCTGCACACACAAGAGAACCTAATCCAGATCTCCAGTATCCATGTAAAATCTGGGTGTGGTGACAAGTGTCTCTAACCCCAACTCTGGATGCAGAGAGAGACAGAACTGTAAGGTGTTCTGGGCAGGAAGTATACACCCAGGAGCTCCAGGTTAGTGAAGGAAGGCCCCTGTCTGAAAAGATAAGTTAGAAAACTTGACTGAAGAAGATATCCAACCAACGTTGACTTCTGGCCTCCACAAGCATATGGATACACACACACACACACACACACACACACACACACACACACACACACACACACGGGGCAGGGGGAGTGATAAACCCATCTGCTAAGCATAACCAAGTCAGACACTAACAACTCAGAGCCAGCATCTCAGTCCCCTTAACTTGAGGGTTGCAGAACTTCTATTGTATTACAAATATCTAGCACTCACGAATTATTTGAGGTCAGTTTCCAAAGAAGAGCTATGGAACACTAACTCTATTTATTCCCATTTTCCCCAATAGCAAGTTATTTGCTTCCTTCTAAGTAGATTGACTTTTTTTTTTTTTTAAATAAGTGTACTTTTCTCATCTATGTCTTTTTCCTGGGCTCTTGGCATGGCAACTTCTATCATGCCAAAGCCATGTGGGAGTCTCTCTGTATAGTAATCTAGATTCCCCCTTTTGTCTTACTGAGGCAGGTCCCCTTTTATGCAAAACAACATTTCCCTGTTAAGAAGCTGCACACCTCAACTTCTTTTGCAACTATGAATGGCCAGCTTTATCTCATCACCCAGAACTGGTGAGATAGAAACGAAAGTCCTTACCGGAGCATCTAAGCAGCTCCTTAAAGGTTCACCTTTTGTTCATGGAGAAAGCTCAAAGTAGTTGTGACTGCTTTGGATTGCATATACATCTGAGGCCTTTCACTTTCTCCAAGGACCCTGGAGATAAAGCAGTCACTTTGCTACCACAAGGCAAGATATGAGAGGCTAGAAGCCACAGTCAAGAAGACGATTATAAACAGTCTCAAAAAAGAATGGTGTTTGAGGCTATCCTCCTGCCCAGGCTACCCTCAGACTAGATAAAAGAGAGTATTCTATCTAATTGAGCTACTTTGCCTGAGATTTTTGTCATATATGAATGTCATTATTTCTCACTATCAGTTGCCAGTGGATGTCATCATAAATACAAAGAGAGAGAGAGAGAGAGAGAGAGAGAGAGAGAGAGAGAGAGAGAGAGAAACTGTAATCATGTACTTCAAGCGTTTTATGGTAACAATGTTCAGCCCAGATCCTACCAGAATGCTTGTGTGAGGTCACTAAGAGTAAGGTGACCAGTGACCTTAGAGGCCACAACAATACACTACACTGTAAAAATATGGTCATTTCAACTCACAAAGTGCTAAGCTTACAGCTGCAACACGAGAAAAGGCAGGGAAATTGTGTCAATTACTGCGCCAATCCCTAAGAATTAGAGTGTGATGGTAACTTCTCCCAGAAGAATAAGGAAAGTTCCCAGGAGAATGGGTCTTCCAAACAGCTGATTCTCAGGTCTCCATGATGAAATTTAAAGCAAGTGGTAGCTTACATTTGGTATAACAAGTCCTATGCAACTGGCAACCCAATTACTATCCAATATTTTTTGGCTCAAATCACAACCAGAACATGAACACATCACTGAAAATTCCTCCCACGATGCACTCCGCATAGCCATTCTCCATGCCCAGCGACTACCCAAGAGCTGAGATCCTCCACCTCTGCCAGACACATTCCCACACATTTTTGTCTCCTTTGGAAACTCTAATATGTTACAGTCAAGAAAATGCCTGCAGAAAGTAACTCTCATGCTACAGTTGTTTTCTTTATCTCTTCTTTGGATAATAGGCGAGTAAAGAGACATACACTATTTTAGGAAACCAATCGAGTATTGAGAGATATAGAGAGAGAGAAGAGGAGGAGAGAGAGAGAGAGAGAGAGAGAGAGAGAGAGAGAGAGAGAGAGAGAGAGAGAGAGAGAGAGAGAGAGAGGAGACTGCATCTGCCTTAGATGTATCCATTCTTTGGAATTTTAAATTATTAAAAAATGTATTATTTAAAAACTATATGTAACATAAAGCAATATCAATACTAGTTCCAATGGCTTAACTAGACAGAGAATGAAGAAATGCTTAAAGAAAGCACTGGACCGAGAATGAGCCCATTTCATGAAATTACTTAACATGCTGAAAAAAGGGTATTGAGTGAGAGGAACCTGTACAGGTGGCTGGCAGGGGGCTCACAGAATGCCCTGTGGGAAGGACAGTTTTCCTGGTTTCTCAGCTAGTCTTACATAGGGGACTTGTATGATATACATACATTAAGAAGGACACAAAGGGACTGCAGCATTACACATAGGCTTTGGGGGACCATGAAGCATGCTGGCTTATAGATAATGGCTCCTGTCAATATTCAGGTATCTGTACTGGCCTGTCCTAGGGGTTCTGACAGGATACGCAACTACTAAGAGTGCCTCCTGTGCACATTCACTACTTTCCCTTCTAAGAGGGCCCTGCCCACCTCTCAACCTCTTTCTGTCCCTCTCCTTCTCCTCTCTCTCTCCACCTCCTTCCTCTCTCCTCTCTCCTGCTGCTTCTGTCTCTAGAGGCCAGTCTCCTTCGGCCCCCTTCCTCCCTTTTTATGATCCCTTTTCCTAAAAAAAAAACCACTCTGCTTGAACCCTGTCTCATGGCGGCTTTCTCTTGTGTGCTGCTTTTCTTAAATTATAACAACTACACAGCAGACAATGTCAGGCACTTTTTTGGGGAGTTCAGGTTAAGTTGGTTGTGTGTGTATATGTATGTTCCTGTGGGTATACACACACATGTGTGTGGAAGCCACAAATCAGTGTGTGTGTGTGTGTGTATGTGTGTATGCTCATGTGGGTATGTGCATACATGTGTGGAGGCCACAAGTCAGTGTGTGTGTGTGTGTGTGTGTGTGTGTGTGTGTGTGTATGCTCATATGGGTATGTGTATACATGTGTGGAGGCCACAAGTCAGTGTGTGTGTGTGTGTGTGTGTGTGTATGTGTGTGTATGCTCATGTGGGTATGTGCATACATGTGGGGAGGCCACAAGTCAATGCTGGACATCTTTCTCTCCTGCTCTCCACCTTGTTGTTTTTAGAGACAGCATCTTTCTGTGGACCTGACCTTGTTTTTAGAGACAGCATCTTTCTGTGGACCTGACCTTGTTTTTAGAGTTCTAGGAACCTGTTTTGGTGTCTTTCGCCCTGGGATCACAGATACACTCCTGCTGTGCTCAGGTTTGTACCAGGCTTCTGGGAAATAAGCTCTTTATGCTCATGTGGTAAATGATTAACCAACTAAGCCTTGCCCTATCCCCAGCCTTATGGGCAGGTCTTGATTGGCTTGACATTCAATGTGTTCATCAAGAAAATTTTCAGTGTAGTTACTGTCATTACTTCCTTCTATCACCAGAATGGTCCAATGGGCCTTTACTGAGAGGAAAGAAAACCTTCCTTGCTTCTTCCCAATCTTCTTGTTTCTTTTTTTTTCTTTTTTTCTTTTTTAGGTTTGGTTTTACGAGACAGGGTTTCTCTGTATTGTTTTGGAGGCTGTCAGTCCAGCCTGGCCTCGAACTCACAGAGATCTGCCTGCCTCTGTCTCTTGAGTGCTGGGATTAAAGGCGTGCGCCACCACCGCCTGGCCCAATCTTCTCGTTTCTAAAGAAATATGTATGTATATATATGTATGTATATATACACACATATATATGTATATACATTCACACACACACACTATTGCCAAGACAGCAGTTGAGTAAATTTACCTGCCCCAACTTTTAAATTATTATATATACATCATATGTGTGTGCATTCACACACACACACACACACACACACACACACACACACACACACGCTCACACTGTTGTTTTGATATCCTGGCCTATTGCTTCTTGCTTTCCTCAGTAACGTCCTAGCATTACTCCAGTGAAGAGATATGGAACCATTTTATAATTGTAGGCAAATAATCCCTCATTTAGAAAACGTCTCAGTTTATTTTGTTGTTGTTGTTTTGGTATTTTTGCTGTTGTTGTTGTTGTGAGACAGCCTATCATGTAGTCCATGGCCTCAAACTTGCTATATAGCCAAAACTGGCCTTGAATCCTGATCATAACTCAGCCTCCCAGGTGCTGTGATCACAGGTATGAGTCATCATGCCTGACTGAGTTTACTTTTTAAGAAAAGAATGAGGATAGAAGAGAATGACCCCAGTTAAGACTCCTAGCAATAGGGGATAAATGGCCATCTCCTGTGACCAGGCAATACCTCCAGCAGAGGGATTGGACCAACAACAGTCACATACCCTTTGACCTACAGTCTGCCCCGCCTATGTGGTGTGCTGGGGTAAGGGTGGCACATAGATTGTGGAATTTCCAACCAGTGACAGGTCCAGCCTGAGATCCATGGCACGAGAGTGAGCCCACCCATGACACTGCCTTGGAGTGCCAGGACCCAGAGGCTGGGTGGCCCCCAAATCTCGGATAGAACCAAACATTATTGGAGTAAGAAATGTCAATGAAATGATGCCTAATGATACTCTGCTATACTCATAGATTGGTGTCTAGCCCAATGGTCATCAGAGAGGCTTCATCTAGTAACTGATAGAAACAGATACAGAGGACCACAATCAAACATTAGGCTAAGCTCAGGGAACCCTGCTAAAGCGAGGGACAAAGGATT